AAGAAAATCGATTATGAGCCTGCCATCTGAGAATCTTCCAACCGGCATATGAAAATAGGTCTCCCCATAAGGTGGTGTTGGTGGCGAAAGGGACGCAGCCAATCCACCAGTATCTGAATTTGAATCTCCAAAGTTAAAGATGGCTGGAAACTCACAGTCTTCCAAAGCCAAGGTAGGGCTCAAAGTGGTGATGTGCGACAAAAGCATATAAGAGCAAAATAGAGAAACGATAGCTTTGATAGGAATTGTAGGAGACTCCATAGTGGAGAAAGCAAATATGTACCACAAAGATGTTGCAGATGAGAAGTAATAAATTATCCAAGAGTATGTTTCTTTTATAGTGCAAAAAAAAGGTGGAATTTTCGTCTGCATTTGTAGAAAGCAAAAAATGCCAAGTTGCATAAGTTTTCAACCATCTAGAAATCTAGCTACCTGACATTTCAGCATTTGATGCCAAGGTTGCCTTGCCACTCGATGTCATTTATGTGACTTAGGGATAGTAATGGGTCAAATCAGGAGTGGGTATGTCATTTTTATCCTATTCCCGTTAAGTTTTTTTCTCCTATTCCCGCCTTCATACCCGCAATATTCATATTAGGGATTCCCCATCTCCATCTTTGTTGGGGAATGAGTTCCCCAGCCCGCCCTATTCCAGATGAGAAAACCAATATAAAACTACTTTATTGAAAAAAATAGGCCTAGATAATCAATATATATATATATATATAAAGCAAAAAGCAAAAAGCAAAGAATGGTGAAAAATTCAAAATACCATAAAATATCCTTGGTTAATTCAAACATTTATAATTGAAATTATTAATTAAATGAGGATAATATGGTAAATTCACATTTTTTTTAGAGAGAGAGGGAGAGATATTAACATATGGCATATGCTGTTGCTACGTGTGAAAAGGGTTTATGGTAAAATAACAGTTCCGAGAATCCAACAAATTATGAGGCCAGCAATGCTAGCGCTATATGTTCTAAACAGACTTTTAAATCACACAAGTGATTTTCTAAATAAATGGTGAAAACACAAAACCAACTGAGTTATACCCCAATTTGGGAGGGGGGAGGGGAGGCGGGTTTACATAAATATTCATTGGGTGTTTTGGAATTTCGAATTTCTACCCACATAGGTGAAAGTAAAAGAGTTTAACCAACTGAGTTATACCCCAAAGGTTTTATTGGTTATTCTAAATTACTACCTAGATGGCTCAAGGGACCTGCAGCTACAAGGGTACAACACAATTATTCCAATACAAAATAATTTCCACCTGCATGCATCTGTCTGTACGTATTTAATTTTTTGATTTATTTAATTATTAGGCCAAACTCTTGTGACATGCTTGTTTCAAAGCAAGGGGTGGATCAGAAAATGCTCCAGTTGAAATTTTATCAGAATTAAACTTGGCAGCTGCCTCAGTATAATGAATGCCATCCCAATTCACTCTCACCGAAGGATCTTTGCATGAGCCAACAAATATTTGGCTTCCATTAACTGTTGCTGTTCCTCCACATTCAGAACTACCGTTGTAGTTGTACTTGCCACCATATCCACAACAAGCAACAAGTGGGAGCTCAAACCCTGAAACATTTGCAACCAAATTAATATAGAGTGAAAATAGATTTCATTCATGGAATTTCTTTGTATATGCTTTCCCTTTTAATAATGCTTAAGATATCACATTTTTAAACCGCATTAGTGAATTACATTATGTGACAGGTGATATACTTATCAATCCAATGAAATCATTTGAAATTACGTACGTAAGCAAAAACCAAAAAAAAAAACAAAAACTTTATATAGGTACGTTTTGTGAATATCATAAGGTTGAGTGGCTTACCATATTTTTGGGGTTCCTTATAAAGAGAGTATTTGACTCTACATAAGTAATTGCAGCCAAAGGTAGATTTTTCCTAAGTTGAACTGTGGCTTCCTTCAGCTTGTGGTTAAAATGCTGAGCTACTTCATTATATGACTTTGCACAGCCAGCCTCATCCTTTTGAGCTGGGAAAGTGGCTAAGATGAGAGGGAGACAGCCAATTGGCCCAGCGTTGTGGATCCAAAATGATCTCGCTTCCAAATCATATATATTCTACATCATCACAATAATCACCACATTAACGTCATAATCCACCAAAAGTAAAAAATAAAACAGCGAGCTGAAAAATTAAAATATGTTCTCTTACTAGATAGTCTCATATATTATTTGAACCTAATATAGGGATTCAAATTATAAAAAAAAGAAAAACCCTACATGAAATGGATTTTAGAAACACACCAAAAACCCTTTTACAACATAACAAAAACGCTTCAAACTTTCTATAAATTACAAAATTACCATTAATTTCTTAAAACAAGCCCAACTCTAAAACCTCATAAAAAAATCTAAAATACTCAATAGACTATCAAAGTAATTTAATAATTAAAATTAAATTCAACAAAGTCAACTGTCATTTTTTTGATTTTTTTTAATGCATTTATAAAAATTAAATAGTGTAGAATTTATCTATATCACTAATGTTAAGAATTAATAAATAACTAAATATTTGAATGTATGACGCGGATAATAGAGACACGACCAGTTGTTGAACCTAGGATCTTAAAATATAATTGATACAATGAGTTGGGCCCCCATTGACCAAGACTCTTCGCTAAACCACAACTTTATCTCTGGAAGATTAATTACCTTAATATTTGCCGAGAACCCACTGATTATATCAGGAGCCGATGCATTGACCTCTTGAATAGTCAAGTTACCAAAAAACCCCTCTACTAGGTCATTCTGTCCAATGTCAAATGTGTATAAAGCTTTGGAGAAATACTCCTCCTTGGGCATCAAACTTGCAAATATTCCCCCTATATACAAATTAAACAAAGCTCCAGTCATATAGTTTTTTGGCTTGAAAATAATTTGTTACCCAAATAAGTAATAAATAATTAGATTTTTACCTCGATGCCTAATGAGTTGTGATATGGGTTTTAGTTGCATGAACTGTATGTACTGAATATTGAGGTAGAAGGGACTAAATCCACCCGCAGCTGGCACAATTTTATCTGGCAATCTGATGGTGGAGCCTCCAGTGGCAAAATTTGCACCATATGATACGAGAAGTTGGTCCCAATTGAATCCAGATATGAGCTTAGAAAGGGGTGACCAAGACTCTTCGCTGAACCACAAGTTTTATTAGACAAGAATTTTGGAAAAAGAAAAGAAAACCGCATAACAACGAAATGCATGTTGAAAAAGAAAAAAACTTATCATTTAGTACAAAGTACTGATGCAAATAGAGGTATTATGCCGACACATGTGTCCATATTATGGGAAGGGTTTTATTTATTTATTTTTATACAAATTATATTGGAAGAGGGGAATTTTATCACACACACATATCAAGTGTCATGATGTTGGAACCTAAAATCACTCCGCAAGTCAAGTCACTATATGTTCTCTTCATCCAATATTATTTGATATATATAAAACTTACTGCCGAAAATTATCAAGAAAAATGAGTGTCCAGAAAGCTTATTGGGCCTACCATGCACTTTTGTCTTTGTGTACGGCGTTTGAAATCAATTTGGAAAACAAAAGCAATTTTTCCACCATTTATACATGTTTGAATTGTCAGCCATAAGAATAAGATGATAATTAGTTTAAAAAGCATATACTATTAATACCTTTTCCTAAATAAATATTTTAAAAACAAAAACAAAAACCAAATATGCATACCAAGAAAATCGATTATGAGCCTGCCATCTGAGAATCTTCCAACCGGCATATGAAAATAGGTCTCCCCATAAGGTGGTGGTAGTGGAAAAAAGGATGCAGCCAATTCACCAGTATCTGAATTTGAATCTCCACAGCCAAGGTAGGGCTCAAAGTGGTGATGTGCGACAAAAGCATATGAGAGCAGAATAGAGAAACGATAGCTTTGATAGGAATTCTAGGAGACTCCATAGTGGAGAAAGCAAATATGTACCACAAAGATGTTGCAGATGAGAAGTAATAAATTATCCAAGAGTATGTTTGTTTTTAGTGCAAAGAAAAGGTGGAATTTTCGACTGCATTTGTAGAAAGCCAAAAATGCCAGGTTATATCAGTTTTCAACCATCTAGAAATCTAGCTAGCTGGCGTTTCAGCATTTGATGCCTGGTACCACCTTTACTATTGATGATGTTTGAAGTAAGATATGACATCGAGAGATGTTATCTATGTGGCTCCCTCCTGTATACTGATGGAATTCATACTGAGAAGAAAAAGGGTCTATAAGTTTCGAGAAAAAGCAATCTCTATATTTCTATTAATATTGATGATGGGTTACAATCAATGTATGAGACAATAAAAGACTGCCGCTCTTGACATTTACAATTGAGGTAAAAGGGATGTGTATATATATATATATACAAGAGATTATATAGAAAACCCTAGGACAAGGACCCCGGAGGATGACTCAGTGAATAAAAACAAGGAATATGCTTGTTCTTGTGTTGAATATGCCTTTATGACCGTTAGAGCACAGCAACTGTCATAGCATGGGTGTGTTAACTATTTTCTGGTTTTTGCTAGGTGTGATGATCATTTTGATCAACCATAGAGTTGTGGCTAATATCCCCCTGCAAGCTCAATTGCAGGTTTGGAGCAGTGAGCTTGGACTGAAAGTTGTTGAAGATAGCTTTAGGAAGGCTCTTTGTGAAGAGGTCCGCTAATTGAGCTTGGGAGGAGATATGTGAGATAGAGATAATGTTGCTATAGTAACAAGGTCATGGATGTAATGATAATCAATTTCGATGTGTTTGGTTTTTGCATGAAAGATGGGGTTCGAGGCTAGGGCAATGGTGCTGGATTTGTCACAGAGGATGAGAGGATGTTTATCAAGGAAAAATGAATTTCTTTGAGGAGAGAGCAAATCCAGAAAATTTCAGTGACTGTGTGAGCTAAGGAACGATATTCACTTTCAGTTGAAGATCCAGTGACAGAGGCTTGTTTCTTTGAGCTCTAAGACACCAAGTTTTGTCCAAAAAAGATACAATAGCCGGTGGTAGAGCCCCGGTCAATGGGACAACCAGCCCAGTCTATGTCAGAATAGGCAGTGAGGTTGAGATTTCCTTTGCGAATGAGCAAGCCATAAGCTGGTGTGCCTTTTAGATATCTCAATTTTCTCTTCACGGCTGACAAATGCGGAGTACAAGGAGTGTGCATATGTTGGTACACTTGATTGATTGAGAGCGCAATTTCTGGCCTGGTCCATATAAGATACTGTAAGGCGCCAATGAGAGGCCAATATGTGGAAGGATCAGAGAGGATTTCACCACTTGTATTGTCCAATTTTTGAGAGGAAGAAGGTGTTGAGCATGGTTTGTAGTCCAACATGGAGAATTGAGTAAGGAGATCACATTTGTACTTCTGTTGGGAGAGAAACATTGTATCGGCAGTGCGCTGAACCTGAATACCCAAAAAATAATGCAATGGACCTAGATTTTTCATTGAGAATTTGGCACTAAGCTGGGAGATGAGAGCTTGGCAAGAGATAGAAGTTGTGACAGTGATGATTATGTCATCCACATAGACTAAAATAAATGTCAAAAAATGATCAGCCTTAACAAAGAGATATGGGTCTGCCTTAGAAGGAATAAAGCCAAGAGATAAAAGTGAGTGATACAATTCCTCATACCAGGCATGAAGGGCATGTTTTAAGCTATATAAGGATTTGTTTAACATACATACATATGAGGGATGAGAGGGGTGAACAAAACCTGGAGGTTATTGCATATAGACGTCCTCATGAAGGGTGCCGTGAAAGAATGCATTGGACACGTCCAGTTTAGTTATGGACCAATCATGTTGCACAACAAGGGATAGTATAAGTCAAATGGTTATTGGTTTTTCCACGGGACTGAAGGTTTCAGTGAAATCCAAGCCCGGCTGTTTGTGGAACCCTTTGGCAACAAGTATTGCTTTTAAATCTATCAAGAGTGCCATCAGCCTTATATTTTACTCGAAATACCCATTTGCAACTAATAACATTGTGGGTAAAACTTGGTGGGACAAGAGTCCATGTGTTTGTTATGTGAAGAGCTGAGATTTCTTCTTGAATAGCTTGCAACCATCTGGAATTTTTGGAGGCCTGAGCAAAAGTGATGGGGTTAGGTATTGTAGGAATGGAGGCAGTGGGAAATGGGTGGGTTGTGGTGAAAACCCGAGGCTTTGTAATACCAGATTTTGAATGTGTTCGTATAAGATGAAGATTATGAGTGACAGAATATGATGAGGGAGGAGGAGAATGGACTGGTTAGGGGGGGGGGGGAGGGAGTGATATTTGTGGAAGAGGAAGGGAACAAGAGTGAAGGTGGGGGATTGGTGATTGGGGATAAAGTTGTTGATATTGGGGAATTAGGTAGATGGGAGGTAAGAGGCGTGGGGTCTGTTTGTAAAGGAGGTGGGCGTAAAGGTAAAATAGGGGTATAAATGAGGGAAACATGCATCTAATGCTTAGGAAATGAACTTTAGCCACAACCTATATAACAAAAACTTTCTAAATGGCAGATTTATTTTGTTTATACTAGCTAAGCTAAACTTTTTTCATTTTAAACCAAGTATCTTAGCCTAGTCTTTTTTAACACAAATAGAAAAAGGGAAAAGGGAATAGATCTTTACCCTTGATGACCTTTTCTTGATTTCTCAAGAATAAACACCTTTGTTGGAAATGCCTTTTGTTTATCTTGATTTTGACTCCTTCACCTTAAGGCTCTAAGATTGAAGTCTTCTACCGCACCACACCAAATGTTCCTAGAGATGAAGAGAAGGCAATCAAGGAGTATGGATATGCTAGTCTACTTGATTTGACCAATTTTTGGTTTATGGAAGATAAGATACAAAGATGATCACTCATCAACCAAAGTAGGAAACTGAAAACCCTAACTAGGTTTTCTTCAACACTTAGCTTATATAGGACAACACAAAAGGCAATTGGGTGGGTATTTGGGGCTCCATTTGGTCCATGTGTCATGTCATCTTATGCCACTTATCCCTTAGACCCAATAGCCTTTTGAGCTATTTTGTCCATTTCCTTTTAAATTATATTTAAAAGTCATATCCAATATTTATATATGTCAATATTAATTCCATAATTAATCTTTTAATTATAATTATAATCTTACTTAATTGATCCGGTCGGACTATTTGACTTTTGGTTAATTGCTCCGGTCAACATGTTGACTTTTGGCTATTGACTTTGACATTTGATTATTAACCATTGACTTATGTCTCCTAATTTCATTTCTCCTCATTTGTACCTCTAATCACATTCTTTGGGTGTGCAGATCCGTATGTTCATGGGTCAATCAAAATATCAAAGGCCCGGAAACAGATTATTGGGTTATCAGAAAAGATTGCCCATTAATTCCCAAAACCCCAAGGTATTTAATGAGTGATCAGATAAATACTCATTAAATTTACGGAGGCCCAATTTGCCTATTATATGGTTAGTGCAAATGCCAATTTTAGGAAAAATCAATGGGGTAATTAAAATTACCCATTATTTTTTTCTCGGACATTGACAATAAAAAAAATGCTACAAAACCATCCAATTTTGTATGGGTCATCTACCCATGCAAATTTCATTGAGATTAATTTCAAATCTCTCAAATACAAATTCTCAATTAGTAGGCTACACTGGCCTATTAATATCCAATTTTTTCCATGGGTCAACTACCTATGCAAATTTCACTGAGATTAATTTCAAATCTCTCAAATACAAATTCTCAATTAGTGGGCCACACTTACCCATTAATTTCTAATTTTTCTCATAGGTCATCTACCTATGAAAATCTTCAGATTGTCTCAAAGACACCAATTCTCAATTAGTGGGCCACACTTACCCATTAATTTCAAAATTCTAGAACTAAGTCGGTTTGATCTCGTCAAGGGTATGTAGGCAGTCTAACATCTCAATAGACGCAACTGCAACCAAATTTAAATCCCTGATTTATCTTAACCAAATTTTGCCAAAATACTTTCCCAAGTGCAATTGTCAATTTTTAGGAAAAATTAATGGGATAATTAAAATTACTCATTATTTTTCTTGGACATTGACAACAACAAAAAGTGGTACAAAACCATCCAGTTTTTCACTGGTCACCTACCCATGCAAATTTCATAGAGATTAAATTCAAATTTCTCAAACAGAAATTCTCAATTAGTGGGCCACACTTATCCATTAATTTCCAATTTTCCCTATAGATCGTCTATCTATGGAAATCTCCAATTTGTTCCAAAGACACAAATTCTCAATTAGTGGGCCACACTTACCCATTAATTTTCAAATTTTGGAACTATGCCGGTTTGATCCCATCAATGGTATGTAGGCAGTCTAGCATCCCAATAGACACAACCACAACCAAATTCTCACCAATTACATCTCCACACAAATCAATTCCGAACTACGTTGGTTTGATCCCTTTAAAAGGGCACGTAGGCAATCTAGAGGTTCAATCTAGATGCAACCATCCCAAACACAATTCCATGTCGAATCCCTGGTTTATTCAGCTAAATTCATTCAAACACTCCTCAATCAAATTCATTCAAATTCCTCCAATTGTGATGAGTCATTTATTCATTGTGAATCTTTGAACTACAAGTGGGTTGATTCCCGCAAGAAATACGTAGATACCCTGAGGTTGGACTTGGGAGCAGCCGTAAAACCAAACACACACGTTCTATTTCTTTATGATGGAATCAAAGGATTTTCCATTGTAGCAAGGGATTGTAATTAAGAGACTTGCGTCTCGAATGGGTCGAACCTAAAATAATAGAACCTCATTAATTAATTAGTGGTGGTGAAATTATGTTGGGAGGTTCACGTTTTCCTTCAACGGAAACATAAGAAAATCATAGAGAAAACGTTTATACTTGACAAAATGAAACATAAGAATGAAAGAGACAGAGAGAAACCAAGACAAAATTAGCCAAAATAGAGAAGACTAAAATTCGGAAATCAAACACCCAAATTTAGAAATCCTAACAAACAATTTAAAACTTGGAAGAGCACATGTGATGACAAAAAAGAGAGAGGATTTGAAATAATAACCTGGTAAATAGCTTGAACACTATCCCTCCTATATGAATTTAAATCTTCTCTCTTTCTGAGTTTGAACACTACCTCCTTTATTTGAGCATAGAAGGTTTTTAGTTATACCATCACCAAGAAAAAACACATCATAAGAAGAGCAACAAAAATTGGAGGAGACTACATTGAAGTCCATGAGAAAAGAGGAAAAGAAACAAAAAATCAGAACATAATCTAATCCCTAACATAAAAGAAATGCAAAAAAAGATGTCAATCTTTTACTGAAAGATGCAACAACAAAAAACAAAAAGATAGAAGAAACTAATACAGATCATAAATAAACAGACATGTAAAAGAAAAAACAAATAAGACACTATAGGCAGAGAATCCGGTGAAGTGTGCTTGTGTGCTATATGTAGACTTAACACTGGGTTTTAGTCTATGCATCACAGTAATATGAACATAAAAAAATAAGCAAACCACCCCTAAATATCATAAAAAACCAATATACAAACAAAGAGAAAAATTCATAGTAGTTAATTTTTATTAGGGATTTCAACATAAATAAAAATCAACACTGTATTCCAGTCAGTAACACCACAAAAGTAATAAGGGGAATTACGAAAGGGTGTTTTGTGGAGAGGAAGCTTAAAAATTAAATGCCAAAGCCCTCTTGTTCGATTTTGTTTTTTTTCCTTTGTCACCTACGTCTTCCAGAAAGACAGAAATAGAAGGAGGAAATTACTGACCTAAAATTGTATTCTCACAAACGCCTAGTGTCAAACACAATCAACATCCTGATGTAAAAAAGAGAGGGTGGTATTTGAATACACTAATTGAACAACCCAATACTTAACCCCTGAAATTGGTAGTTCAACAACGCTTTGCCTCATTCTTGAATTTCTTTCCTTGGTCCTTGATATTGCTTGAAGCTGTCATGCAATAAATTTGTAAGGATAAGCATTTAGTATGCGAACAATGAAAAAAAATACAAATATGATTCAGAAGTAGTGATTGACCTATTTTGTGTGAAACTCAGGGCACTATATATCTATACAGAGCCAAAGTAGAATTGAAATAGAAATGGTTATTGAACCATCCAAGCGCAAATACTGAAAAGATTGTCAATAATCGACAAATTCATCAACCAAGAGAAGTAAACCGAATGTGGACCCAAAAAAAAAGAAGAGGAAAAACAAGAATAAAGAATCGCAAATTTCAACAAATTTCAACCACACAAAGAAGGCACAAGAAATCGTTTCTGAAGTTTGGGCAAAATGAAAAAAATACCCCTACATGTAAAAATTACCAAAATGCCCTTATAGGAATTTTTTATTATAAAAAAATTAATAGAAAAGAAGAGAATAATCTGAAACGTGGAGGGCAACAACCCACTCTTCCTCCCAGAAGAAGAAGAAGAAGACGACGACGACTTGGAAATAAGGGAGATGGAGTTTATTATTATTACATCGATGAGAGAATTAAGAAAGCAAATGTGATGCGTAGAAAAGAAAATGGTGGAAGAAGAAGAAGAGAAGACTTGGAAATAAGGGAGATGAAGTTTATTACTATTACATCAATGAGAAAATTAAGAAAGAAAATGTGAGACGTAGAAAAGAAAATGGTGGAAGAAGAAGAAGAGAAGGCTTGGAAATAAGGGAGATGGAGTTTATTACTATTACATCGATGAGAGAATTAAGAAAGAAAATGTGAGATGTAGAAAAGAAAATGGTGGAAGGAGAAAAAGAGGAGACTTGGAAACAAGGGAGATGGAGTTTATTACTATTACATCAATGAGAGAATTAAGAAAGCAAATGTGAGACGTAGAAAAGAAAAATTGGAAGGAAAAGTGGGACTCTTGTTCTAAGTTCATTTTATCAAGTGTTGAAGCAATTAGAGAATGATTTATGAACTTTTTGAGGCATAAGAAAATCAAAAGAAGAATTTTGAAATCAAGATTTTCGGATTTTGATTTAAGGAGTCCATTATAAATGCTCTAAGAACATCCACAATGAGCTCCCTAAACCACCTCCTTAGACAAATTTTAGGGAGGAATTGAAAAAATACAACTCCAGTCATGCTCCCTATCCACATCCTAAAATAGGGAGACTTCTAGGAACTCCTAAATCTGAAGAGAGAGAAAGGACTCCTAATGAGTATTTCAAACATTTAGTTAATGCATTATTTTTTTAATAGAGATTGACCAATTAGAAAAAAGTTATAGCATTTATGACTCCCTAAACTAGAGAGCAAGATTGGAGTTTAAATTTTATAGAGAGCTCCTAAAATAATGTTTATATGTTTTTAGCTCAGATTTAACTGAAAAATAGAGAGTATGATTGTGAATGCTCTAGGACTTTAAGTTCCCAACGTGAGATTCACACTCTCAACACATAATGCTTTTTGTTAACCAAATTCTACCCAAAATGTCAAATATATTAAATCATATTAATTATGAGACTTTATCGAATCAGTTTGCATTATTAGTTGAAATTTTAATTAAGAGCATCCACAATGATACTCTCTATTTCTTATCTAAAATTTAGCTTAAAATATAAGAAAGCTATTTTAGGAGCTCTCTAAAAAATTTAAACTCCAACCATACTCCCTAATTTGGAGAGTCATAAATACTATAACTATTTTTTTATTGGTCCATCTCTATTAAAAAATAAAATAAAAAATAGTTAGCATTAAATAAAGGTTTGAAATACTCATTAAATAAATCATCATTAAATTATAGGGAGCCACTAGGAGTCCTTTCTCTCTCCTCAGATTTAGGAGCTCCTAGAGGACTCCCTATTTTAGGAGGTGGATAGGGAGCATGGTTGGAGTTGCATTTTTACAATTCCTCCCTAAAATTTGTCTAAGGAGGTGGTTTAGGGAGCCCATTGTGGATGCTCTAAACACACTAAATCAAAGTAATGTTCTAATCGAAGAGAAGTATTGAACCTCATAAATAAGAGAAAGAAAAATGATAACTAAAAAACTGGATGGTCAACACAAGATAGTATATAAATGTGGTATGACTAGCATTACTCTTTTATTATGACTAGCATTGCTCTTTTATTAAAAACCATGTATCCTTTATTGGATATTCTAAATTACTACCTAAATGGCTCAAGGGACCTGCAGTTACAGAGGTACAACACAATTATTCCAATACAAAATAATTTCCACCCGCATGCATCTGTCTGTACGTATTTAATTTTTTTGATTTATTTAATTATTAGGCCAAACTCTTGTGACATGCTTGTTTCAAAGCAAGGGGTGGATCAGAAAATGCTCCATTTGAAATTTTATCAGAAATAAACTTGGCAGCTGCCTCAGTATAATGACAGCCATCCCAATTCACTCTCACCGAAGGATCTTTGCATGAGCCAACAAATATTTGGCTTCCATTAACTCTAGCTGTTCCTCCACAACCAGAACTAGTGTTATAGTGGTACTTGCCACCATACCCACAATAAGCAACAAGTGGGAGCTCAAACCCTGAAACATTTGCAACCAATTTAATATAGAGTGAAAATAGATTTCATTCATGGAATTTCTTTGTATATGCTTTTCCATTTTAATAATGCTTAAGAGATCACATTTTTAAACTGCATTAGTGAATTACATTATGTGAAATGTGATATACTTATCAGTCCAATGAAGTCATTTGAAATTACATACGTAAGCAAAAACAAAAAAAAAAACTGCGAACTTTATGTAGGTATGTTTTGTGAATATCATAAGGTTGAGTGGCTTACCATATTTTTTGGGTTCCTTGAAAAGAGAGTATTTGACTGAATAGACGTCTACATAAGTAATTGCAACCAAAGGTAGATCTTTCCTAAGTTGAACTGTGGCTTCCTTCAGCTTGTGGTTAAAATGCTGAGCTACTTCATTATATGACTTTGCACAGCCAGCCTCATCCTTTTGAGCTGGGAAATTGGCTAAGATGATAGGGAGACAGCCAATTGGCCCAGTGTTGTGGATCCAAAATGATCTCGCTCCCAAATCATATATTTTCTACATCATCACAGTAATCACCACATTAACATCATAATTCACCAAAAGTAAAAATTTAAAAAGACAGCGAGCTGAAAAATTAAAATATATTCTCTTAATAGACAGTCAGACATGTTATTTGAAGACAGATTCACTATTTATACCTAATATAGGGATCCAAATTATTTTTAAAAAAAATAACATGAAATGGACTTTAGAAACACACTCAAAGCCCATTTACAACATAATAAAGAGACTTCGAACTTTCTATAAATTACAAAACTGTAATTAATTCTTAAAATAAGCCCAACTCTAAAACCTCATTTTTGGGGTGTATTTTTTAAAAATTAAATGATGTAGAATTTATTTATATCACTAGTGTTAAGAATTGGTATATAACTAAATATTCGAATGTTTGACACTTAAAATATAATTGATACAATGAGTTGGGCCCCCATTGACCAAGACTCTTTGCTGAACCACAACTTTATCACCTGGAAGATTAATTACCTTAATATTTGCCGAGAACCCACTGATTATATCAGGAACAGATGCATTGACTTGTTGAACAGTCAAGTTACCAATGAACCCTTCTGTTAGGTCATTCTGGCCAATGTCAAATGTGTATAAAGCTTTGGAGAAATACGACTCCTTGGGCATCAAACTTGCAAATATTCCCCCTATGTACAAATTAAACGAAGCTCCAGTCACAAAGTTTTTTGGCTTGAAAATAATTTGTTACCCTAATAAGTAATAAATAATTAGATTTTTACCTCGATGCCTAATGAGTTGTGATCTGGATTTTAGTTGCATGAACTGCGTGTACTGAATATCGAGGTAGAAGGGACTAAATCCACCAGCAGCTGGTATAAGTTTATCTGGCAATCTGATGGTGGAGCCTCCAGTGGCAAAATTTGCACCATACGAGAAGTTGGTCCCAAGGGAATCCAGATATGCGCTTAGAAAGGGGTGACCAAGACTCCTTGCTGAACCACAAGTTTTATTAGACAAGAATTTTGGAAAAATGCATGTTGAAAAAGAAAAAAACTTATCATTTAGTACAAAGTACTGATGCAAATAGTGGTATTATGCCAACACATGTCCATATTTTTATTTTTTTATTTTTATTTTTATACAAGTTATATTGGGAGAGGTGGATTTTGTCACACACACAATGTCAAGTATCATGATGTTCGAACCTAAAACAACTAGTCTGCAAATCACGACTCTTTCCACAAGCTATATGCTCTCTTCATCCAATATTATTTGATATATATAAAACTTACTGCCAAAAATTATCAAGAAAAATGAGTGTCCAGAAAGCTTATTGGGCCTACCATGCACTTTTGTCTTTGTGTACGGCGTTTGAAATCAATTTGGAAAACAAAAGCAATTTTTCCACCATTTATACATGTTTGAATTGTCAGCCATAAGAATGAGATGATAATTAGTTTAAAAAGCATATACTATTAATACCTTTTCCTAAATAAATATTTTTTAAAAAAACCAAAAACAAAAAACCCGTACCAAGAAAATCGATTATGAGCCTGCCATCTGAGAATCTTCCAACCGGGATATGAAAATAGGTCTCTCCCCATAAGGTGGTGGTGGTGACAAAAGGGACGCAGCCAATCCACCAGTATCTGAATTTGAATCTCCAAAGTTAAAGATGGCTGGAAATTCAGAGTCTTCCAAAGCCAAGGTAGGGCTCAAAGTGGTGATATGCGACAAAAGCATATAAGAGCAAAATAGAGAAACGATAGCTTTGATAGGAATTCTAGGAGACTCCATAGTGGAGAAAGCAAATATATACCACAAAGATGTTGCAGATGAGAAGTAATAAATTATCCAAGAGTATGGTTGTTTTATAGTGCAAGGACTAGGTGGAGTTTTTGACTGCATTTGTAGAAAGCCAGAAATGCCAAGTTGCGTAAGTTTTCAACCATCTAGAAATCAAGCTAGCTGACATTTCAGCATCTTGTGCCTAGGATGCCTTGCCTAGTTAACCTGGAAAAGCTGTGCGTTTCAAATGTAAATAATGTCTGTAAGATGCAATTTGTAAGATATGACATCGAGAGATGTCATCTATGTGACTCCCTCCTGTATACAACAGCTCCTCACAATAGACCATACGGTGAGAGTTAGTCAAATGCAGTAGTCTCTTATGTAGTTCTTGTTGTTGCACTAAAAAGAAGTCAGCAGTAGTTATCTTCTTTTTTGGTGAGTAAAGCCTATAGTAACGCTGCAATTACGAATTTAGCTTTATTTTCAAATTCAAATCCCTCCAACCCCAAGTTGTCATAGTTAATATGATCACGTATCCATGTTGGCGTTAGTTGACCAGATTTCCTATATTGATTGTAATTTGTCTCCTTTTTGACGAGTTATAGCTTGATGTAATACCTGAAAATTCAAGGTGGATTTTCATATTTCAGTGAAAAATTAATATTATGGTGTAGAATGATTATGGGTATTTTATCAAGCGACTTTGGATTGAGACTATTGGATTAAGTGTGTTTAATTTCATGTTGGACAAAAATGCCCTTACGTAACATTTTGTGAAATTTTCAAAGTATAAGAAATTGGAGTGAAAAAATTATGATTATGAGGTAGGACGATAGTAAGTCAACTCAACGAACGCATAGGAAATCGTTTCTGAATTTTGGGCTAAAATGACCAAAATACCCCCTACATGTGAAAATTACCAAAATGCCCTTGTAGGCATTTAAAAAAGAGAGAGAGAGAGAGAGAGAGAGAAAGAAGACAAGAATATGAAACGTGAAGGGCAACAGCCCACTCGTCCTCCCATTCTTTCCCCTTGCCTCAAGCTTTCAAATCCACCATTATGAGTCACCTAGCTTAAAGTTATGACTAAACTAGGTAAGGGATCTGTAATACCCCGAAAAATTCAAGGTGGACTTTCATATTTTAGTGAAAAATAATATTTTGTGGAGAATGATTATTAGTATTTTATCATTTTCGGATTTCACAGTAGTATGCTCGGTTTCATCATTCATTGTATCTTCACTTTCTTCCTCATTCACCTTATTCATTTCATCTTCATTCTTCTTTTGTTCTTCTTCAAAAATTCCTCACTTCCTTGGAGCAAGCTGAGAACTCAAATTTAGAGAGCTCAAATGAGAAAACTTCCTTCACAAAAGTTGTTCATTTACGTGATTCCTATAACATACTCCATTTTCATCTCAATCCGATTAGTATTAACTCTGAAAACTTAGTATGATCACAGTATGTTTACCATTTTCGTATTTCACAGTAGTATGCTCGGTTTCAAAATATTTCTTGATTTCTTGTACTCAAATGACTTTGGTTCCTTCATCAAAGTTGTTCGAAATTCTGTCTATTATAACATATCAAAAATTTAGGTTGATTGGACATCTATAGCCACCTTGTGAAAGTTTAGAGTGGAACTTGTTCTTTGATTATATTGAATTTCTTGTTATAGATGTGTACTTTCTCTCAAATGGTTTGTTACTTGTCATTCAATTGATAAAATTGGCCACTATCATCTCAAGTAAATGATTCTTTGAAGGTTTGAAAGCTCATCTTCTTATTGTCTCTTTGAGTACTGGATGTAAATCAAGTATTGGTTAGATTGCCTCAATGACATATATATTTCTTTCAAAGTGCGTTTCGGTGAAGTTCTAGATTATTTTGATGTGATTTTGTACGAATTTTATTCTGGGATTTTGTTACATCAAAATTGATATCTCAAGGGTTATTTCGAAGTTGGTTTTGTGCCATTTGAATTTAAACTGAGTTTTTTGTGAAATTTCAAAGTAGAGACTATGTTGTTGGAATTGTGTTGATTCTACCGCATGCCATGTTTGAATACGTGTTTGAAAACTTCCAGAACTTGGATTTTTATGAAATTTTGATATGTTTTACTTTCACGTATTTTCTTCAAATCTGGAAAGTTTCATCCATTTTGGTTGTAAATTGAAATTTTGGTGAGTTTTCAAAATAAAGTGTACAAACCTGAAGAAAAAAAAAAACAAAAAAAAAGAGAGAACATTTTGCAGCCTAGTCTGTTTTGGTTTCTATTTTGACATGCTTCCTTAACCCTAATTTCCATCAAATTTTGACATTTTTAATTTTTCTATGTCTAGTTGTGATCTGAAATTTTTTACATTATTTTGATTTAAACTCAATATTTAGTGAATTTTCAAAGTTAACATGTTCCAACCTAAATGTTTAGCAAAAATGAAGTTTTTGGTTTAAATTGATGTTTTAAATTTTCTTTATGAGTCTAGAGCCAAACCACCTGATTTTAAACATCCCAAAGAGCAGAACAATTATAGGAGGGGAATAGATTGGTTTTTCCTTGACACTTGGTTCTAATGCTTGTTTGAACGTGAGATTAAGGAGGTAATGATCGGGTCGAACAACTTGTTAAGTGTATTTTGGGGCTTTAGGTCTACGTGCGCCAGTAAGTTAATCAAATGTGTTTCCTTATTTCCAATGAATTTTAATCAGTAAATTATCTTAATTAGGCGTTCTACTCTGCGTACTTTCGAGGACGAACCCGCACAAGGTTAAGCTAGCTGGACCTGAGGTAGGGTTTCCTAATTTCCCAATGATTGGGCTATATCACTTTTAATCTTGGTGCTTATATATATATATATATATGAATATTATTGTTGTTTTGCTCAGTGAATATTATTTGATGTTATGTGAATATAATTATAGATGTTTCTCCATGGATATTATTTTTTATGTTGGATGAATATTATTATTCACGTGATGAAGCTTGAAATATTATTGTTATTATTTGTATTATTATTCCACACAGATGAATTATGTTTGCTCTGCATTACATATGCATCATAAAGACAATGGTGTTTGAGGTGTGTGTGTGTCGTTTCAGGTGTATTTGAGAAAAAAAAAAGGTAAAATATATTCAAGTGACTGGAGCAGGGCTTGAATATAATGAAGTGATGGGAGCAGGGCCTCTAATGAAAAGTGAAAGTTGAGAAATTCGTAAACAAAAGAAAACTGGGTTAAGGGACGAATGGGTGCTAATTCATATTTTAGAGTATTCGGAGCCACATTGGTAAAACGCATGGTACGGGACATGCGGGCTTGTTACCCTAAGGTATGAATTAGTGGGATTAGAAGGGAGTGAGTTCATGGCATCATTGTATATGCACATTTATTTATCTGGCATAGTTGCATAACTTATATATCTTGTGTTGTTTGATGCATAACACTTTGATTAACAGTGATAGTCGACCTTGAGGGGTTTGACCGTACTCCACTGGGCATTAGAATGCTCATACCCTAATAGATTGTGCAGGATTCAATGCGAAGTTTGAGAAAGCGGGTTTCAACCAAGCTACTAGGCTTTGTTGTTGACTTGTGTAATTAACATTTGTAAGTAGTCAACAGGTTGATAAAAATCTTAGTGTGTATTTAACTATGAGCTATTGCGACTCTGATTTATGTTGTTAAGTAAATTTGTATTTATTTGTGGCTCTTTTTCTCATCATATCATGGTTGTAGGATTTTATTCTTATGACTGTGGTATGACTCACACCTTGATTCGGGAATATTCCTTATTTTCGAATTGGGGCGTGACAGGATCTTCCCTAATGCAGCTGATTTTTTTAGAGCTAAGAGAGGTGAGTTGTTGGCGGGAGGGAGAAGATAATGAGAGAGAGAGAGAGAGAGAGAGAGAGAGAGAGAGAGAGAGAGAGAGAGTTTATTACTATTACATCCATGAGAGAATTAAGAACAAATGTGAGAGGTAGAAAAGAAAATGGTGGAGTGTTGAAGCAATTGGAAGGATGAAAGGTGGGTAAGTTCATTTTTAATTATTGAGTTTTTGTGTAATTAATTGTTTGAGTGGATTTATAGTTGTAACTGAGTTAGAGAATGATTTACGAACCTTTTGATGCATAAGAAAATCAAAAGAAGAATTTTGAAATCAAGATTGTAGGATTTTGGGTGTGTTGATAAATTTTTGAGTTTGGGTGTCACAATTAGATCCAAATCTTGTTTTTGGGAAGCTTAGGCCAAGGGTATGATGTTGGAGTATGATTTTGAGCCTTAAGGATGGTATTGGAGGTGTGTTGAAAGAGACTTTTGAGAAAATTCTGAAACTTTGTATTTTTCTGGAAATTTCAGTTCATGGGCCTTAATTTGGCTCCCGTGTTGCTTTGATCTGTGAAGTGTTTTTGAAAGGTTTTGATGTTTTGGAAACTAGGAATAGGAATGGTCAAAACACCCTTTTGATGTCACTGATTTTGGTTAAGTTTTGGGGGATCAAATATTAGAGTGAAATTAGGTTTTTGGGGATCAAATTTTGGTTAAGTTTCACTGATTTTACACTTTCCTAGATGGATTAAATGATCGACTTGACAAGGCTCGCGGGGATGTACTCCAAATGAATTTGTTTCTTACAAAAAGTATAAACCAATCGGTCGGGACCGACACCGCCTTCGACTGACGTTGCACCGCTTCAGATACAATATGCAAAGACAACCACCTAACCTGCGAACACAACGAAGCCAAATACGGCTTCATGACTGAAGACTTAGACAGATGGAGGAGATTGCACACATTGTGGCAATCCGAAATATACTCGTGAAACTTTTTCCAAGTTGAATGGCTATCCAAAATGGTGGGATGAACTCAAAGTCCGAGAGCAACGAGAAGCTACAAGTAGTGGTTCGGGTCGTGCTACCCTTGTAACTGCCGAAACCCAGTTATCTTTTGTTACTCAGGTAGGATCTTCTAGTGCTTCGACACTTCATGATGGTTCTATGAACCTCAGTGACTCATGTAACCGTGGTTATGTTTTCCATACTTATGATAAGAATGATTCCACTGGTTGGATAATTATTTCTGACTCAACTGACCAAACGGTGTTTGATCCCAATGACTTTCTAAGTACCACACAACCTAGACGAATGAGTATTGCTAATGCAAATGGAGTTGCTTATCCTGGGACATAGGCAGACACTAGTGCCCTCTCAGTTTCTCTCTCACTGTCTAATACTTTGCTTGTTCCATCTCTGTCAAAGAAATTCATGTTTATTGGTCAAGCTACTGAACAATTTAATTGGTGTGCACTAATTTACCCAAGCTTTTATTTTCTTCATGATATTCTCACCAAGAAGATCATTGGTCGTGGTACTAAGACAAGGGGGATCTATTATGTGGATGACTTCAGTACACGTGTGCAAAGCTAACAATATGAGGCATCAATCTGATTGCAAATAACGGTAGATCTGGCTATGGCACCACCGTTTGGGACATCCATATTTTAGTTATATGAAATGTCTATTACCATATTTATTTTCTAATTTTAGTGACTCAGACTTTAAATGTGAGTGATCGTGTGTCTTATCCTTTGAGTTTGAATGGAAATAAATCGAAGTAATGTTCCAACGGAAGTATTGAACCTCAAAAACAAGAGAAAGAAAAATCATAACTAAGAAACTGGATAGTCAACTTTTAATTAAAAACCAAGTACTGGAGCCTTTATTTTTTCCGGGGTTCTAACTTACTACCTAAATGGCTTAGGGGACCTGCTGTTACAAAGGTACCACACAATTATTGCAGTACTTAATGATTGATTAATTTATGGGTTAGTCCAAACTCCTGTGACATGCTTGTTTCAAAGGAAGGGGTGGATCGGAAAAGGCTCCAGTTGAAATTTTATCAAAAACAATCTTGGCTGCTGCCTCAGTATAATGAATCCCATCCCAGTTCACTTTAACATAAGGACGTTTGCATGAGCCAGCAAATATTTGTCTTCCATTAACTGTAACTGTTCTTCCACAATCAAGAGTTCTACCGTTAAAGTTGTACTTGCCACCAGAGCCACAACAACCAACAAGTGGGAGCTCAAACCCTGAAAGATATCCAAGCAATCAATACAAAGTGAAAATAAATTTCATTCAAGGAATTTCTCTATGTATATGCTTTCCTTTTAAATAATACTTTAAAAAATCATATTTTTAAGCAGCTTATGTGACAAGTGATATGTATACTTGATAAGTCCAACAACATCACTTGAAATTAGGTACGTAAGGAATATGAAATGTTTCAACTTTTTGTCGGTGTGCTTTGTGAAGGTCGAGTGGCTTACCATATTTTTTAGGTTCCTTGTAAAGAGAGTATTTGACTGAATAGACATCTACATAAGTAATTGCAGCCAAAGGTAAATCTTTCCTAAGTTGAACTGTAGCCTCCTTCAGCTTGTGGTTAAATTGCTGAGCTACTTCATTGTGCGACTTTGCACAGCCAGCCTCATCCTTTTGAGATGGGAAATTGGCTAAGATGTAAGGGAGACAGCCAATTGGCCCAGTGTTGTGGATCCAAAATGATCTCCCTCCCAAATCATATATTTTCTGCATCGTAAACATCAACATTATAATTCAGTAAAAGTGAAAAAAGAGCGAGCGGAAAAATAGAAAATATTGCACTATTAGACAGTCTGACATGTTATATTAATACAGTTTTATCACTGGAAGATTAATTACCTTAATATTTGCTGAGAAGCTACTGATTATATCAGGAACAGATGCATTGACTTGTTGAATAGTCAAGTTGGCAAAGAACCCTTCTCCAAGGTCATTCTGGCCAATGTCAAATGTGTACAAGGCTTTGGAAAAATACTCCTCCTTGGGCATCAAACTTGCAAATATTCCCCCTACATGCATATTGAACAAAGCTCCAGTCACAAAGTTTTGGCTTGAAAATAATGTGTCACCTAATAATTAATAAATTATAGAGCTTCAGCATTTTATTTTTTTTACCTCGATGCCTAATGAGTTGTGATCTGTTTTTTAGTTGCAAGAACTGCGAGTATTGAATAGTGAGGGTGAAGGGACTATATCCACCAGGAGCTGGTAAAATGCGATTTGGCAATCTGATGGTTGAAGATCCAGTGGCAAAATTTGCACCGTGCGAGAAGTTGGCCCCAAGTGAATCCAGATATGCGCTTAGAAAGGGGTGACCAAGACTCTTTGCTAAACCACAAGTTTTATCAGACGATCAATTTAAAGAGAAAAAAAAAATAGAAAAAACCCAGAACAAAGAAAAGCATGTTGCAAGTCTGCAACCATGTGGGAAATAATTGGATGATTTTTCCATTTAAATTTGTAAAAAGTTTGGTCATGGATGTAGAGATTTTAAGTACTTGGGCAAAAAAAATTTGATCGATTTAGGTCGATCATCAAGTCATGAAATTTGACAAACATGTGTAAAGATTATATCACCAATTGTGATTGGCATATAAGTAGGATTGGTTGTTCACAGAGAATGAGCCAAACATACACAGAAGAACAAAGATGAAATTTGAAAACATAAATATAATACATTTTCCTTAAATAAACGTACCAAGAAAATCGATTATGAGCCTGCCATCCGAGATTCTTCCAGCCGGAATATGAAAATAGGTTTCTCCATAAGGTGGTGGTGATGGATAAATGGATGCAGCCAATCCACCAGTATCTGAATTTGAGTCTCCGAAGTTAAAGATTGCTGGAAATTCACACTCTTTTATAGCCAGGGCTGGCCTCAAAGCGGTGATATAATGTGACGAAAGCATATAAGAGCAAAATAGAGAAATGATAACTTTGATATTAATTCTGGGAGAATCCATAGTGGTGAAAAATAAAATACCAAGAAGATGTGATGTGGAGATGAGAACTAAGAAAATCCTAAAATGTGACATCAAGAGTAGATATGTATGAGAGAAGTTGTGGTGTATGGACTGCCGCATCCAACGGCGACTCGAGGGGAACTCCCTGCATGTGAGAGTTTGTTGTATGCGGCGGCCTCTACACAAGAATCACCGCATCTTTGGTCGGTTTGTATTTTTTTGGGTGATTTGTACACATTAAATTGTGTAATATTTTTTTATTTATTCGGCAAACTCTTATATGATCGAGTAATTTCAGATTCTCACAGTGGTTGTTACAAGTGTGTCTATGGCTCCAGATTTCCTAACATAATACTACGACAAATTTAAGCAAATCTGTAAATCCACCAAGTTTGGCACCTCGCCAACCTACTTTTCTCATTGGTACATTTTTTAAACCCAAAAAAGAAAAGAAGATCAACTCAGGCTCTTCCCATGTGTGCTTAATGTCCAAAGACATGAACAAGGTTTAATTCTGGTGACATGTGACAGAAGCATATAGGAGAGAAACAGAGGTTTAATAGTAATTCTAGGAGACTCCATGGTGGAGAAAGCAAGTACCAGAAAAATGTTGCAGAAGAGAGGTGGAATCCAAGAGTATGTTTATTGTATATATCTAAAAGAAATAAAATATTAATAAAAAAATTATAATATCTAAAAGAAATAAAAATAATTAATTCTCTCTCTCTCTCTCTCTCTCTCTCTCTCGCAACACAAGGGAAACAAAACCTAGCACGAAATCAGCTAGGAAGAAAAGCCCTCCACAAATATGGGAGAGATAACCCAGTTTAGTCGAATGGTGGGATGATTGCACTAGGAAGAAAGAAGGAAGAAAGGAGGCGAAGTGGCCTCCCCAACCACTCAACCCCACTAAAAAAAATACACCTCTTTTTTTCATGTGAAACACTAGATCGAAGTAATGTTCTATGAGAAGTATTGACCTCAAAAATAAGAAGAAGAAAAATCAATGAACTTTTAATTAAAAACCAAGTACTGTAGCCTTTATTTGTTATGGGATTCGAAATGACTACCTAAATGGCTCATGGGACCTGACCTGCAGTTACAAAGGTACCACACAATACGAAACAGTTTCCACCTGCATGCTTGTGTTTGCAGTACTTAATGATTGATTCATTTATGGGTTAGTCCAAACTCCTGTGACATGCCTGTTTCAAAGGAAGGGGTAGATCGGAAAATGCTCCAGTTGAAATTTTATCAAAAACAATCTTGGCAGCTGCCTCAGTATAATGAATCCCATCCCAGTTCACTTTAACATAAGGACGTTTGCATGAGCCAGCAAATATTTGTCTTCCATTAACTGTAACTGTTCTTCCACATTCAACAGTTCTACCGTTATAGTTGTACTTGCCACCAAAGCCACAAGCAGCAACAAGTGGTTGCACAAACCCTGAAAGATCTCCAAGCAATTAATACCAAATGAAAATAAATTTCATTCACGGAATTTCTCGTTGCATGCTTTCCTTTACAATAATACTTAAAGAGATCATATTTTAAAGCTGCATTATGTCACAGGTGATGTGTCCTTGATTAGTCGTCCGACAAAGTCACTTGAAAGTATGCAAGGAAAAGAAAAGGCTAAGCTACAACTTTTTGTCGGTATGTTTTGTGAATATCATAAAGTTGAGTGACTTACCATATTTTTGGAGTTCCTTGTAAAGAGAGTATTTGACTAAATATACGTCTACATAGGTAATTGCAGCCAAAGGTAGATCCCTCCTAAGTTGAACTGTGGCCTCCTTCAGCTTGTGGTTAAAATGCTGAGCTACTTCATTGTATAACTTTGCACAGCCAGCCTCATCCTTTTGAGATGGGAAATTAACTACGATGTATGGGAGACAGCCAATTGGCCCAGTGTTGTGGATCCAAAATGATCTCCCTCCCGAATCATATAATTTCTACATCATAAACATTGACATTATAATTCAGTAAACTGAAAAAAGAGCGAGCTGAAAAATGTAAAATATTTCATTATTAGATAGTCTGATATGTTATATTATATTACATCACTAGAAGTTTAATTACCTTAATATTTGATGAGAACCCACTGATTAGATCAGAAACCGATGCATTGACTTCTTGAACAGTCAAGTTACCAAGGATCCCTTCTCCAAGGTCATTCTGGCCAATGTCAAATGTGTATAAAGCTTTGGAGAAATACTTCTCCTTGGGCATCAAACTTGCAAATATGCCCCCTATATACAAATTGAACAAAGCTCCAGTCACAAAGTTCTAGCTTGAAAATAATGTGTCACGCTAATAATTAATAGGCTCTTATCACAAATAGTTCATGAGGTTTACAAAATAGTCACAAATCTTTCTTAAGGTTTTTTTGTGACACTAATAGTCCTTAACGTTACCTTTTGCACATCAAATTGGTCCATGTTGTTAGAAATTTTGTTAAGTGGCTGATATGAAAGATAAGTGGAACTCACATGTCCAATGACATCATGACACATACATGGATAAATGCTTTTTTTTAAGTTTAAAATTGAAAATCCATAAAATATATATCTATATATATATAATAATAAAAATCCATATTTCCCCTCTACAACTTTCCATCCCTCTCCCTTTGCTCCTTCTTTCTCCCCCTCTACACTCTCTCCTCCCTATGCTCTCCCTCTCCCTCAATTTTTTTTCTTGCCACAACCCGTCCAAC